TTTTTTTTTTCTTTTGTGCACAAAAAGTATTCTCGTAGCTTCGTATAATTGCGGATGAACCACTGATGTCACATGGATTATTTTACCGATCTCCTTGCTCTCTCTCTGGACTTGAAAACATTTCAGTTGCATTGCTGTCTATGCAGAGTCAGACAGCTCTCAGATTCCATCAAAAATATCTTAATTTGTGTTCCGAAGATGAACGAAGGTCTTACGTGTTTGAAACGACATGAGGGTGAGTAATTGATGACAGAATTTTACTGTGGGTGAACTATCCCTTTAAATATCTTAAATGGTATAACACAAGTCATAATTTACATTTAAGAGATCTTAAATTTGGGGCAGAAAAACAGGAATTACGGTACGGTCTAATGTGATTATTATACTTCAAAAGGCTGTGATTAAACAAATGTGAGCTACACATTTTCAACACATTGAAATTCAATACACAGCACTGTTGCACGTTCTACAGGCTCGCGGTTTCAGAGCAGTTCGCAATCAGTGAATACCGCACGTTTATGCCAAGTGATTGTATATGGTCTACTGTTTATGAATTATGACAGTGTTTACATTATGGGGTTTATATTGTAAAATGTTGTAGGTGGTTGTAAGAGTTCATATTTTATTTGCAAGTTGTAATAGTAATGCACAGACAATTCAAAAGAAGAGTATATTTTGGGATTGTTTATAATGAAAACTCTTGCATTATTCACAAAATCTTGATTATTGTTTTTATTTGTATTTTGGTTACACAATAAGCTGTATCCAGCACTTAATTCAACATAAACTCTTGTAGCTTCTCTTTGGTCCACCCGGTCACAGTAAGGAAAGACTAGGAACATTATTTAACACATTCAATAAATAGATTTCTTGTTAATCCATTATTATCACATCAGCAAAATCTAATATTGGTTGACCTCTAATTCATATGTATTGTTATGTTAGTAGTACACAAACCAGTTTCAATACACATGTATATATTGGAATAAAACATGTCTTGAATATTTACATTTTGCAGTTACCCTGTTTTGCTGATAAGCAGCATTATGTTTTCATTGAATGTGCGCAGCCTTTTTAATCAAGTAAAAAAAACTGAAATACATTATTTGTTTTGAGATTGTAAGGTGTGTTCTGTATGGACATATAGTATAAATTTGTGCAGATCTTAAAAAGTATTGTATTTGATTTCAAAAACTCTGCATATGCCCTGTGTTTGTTAAGACAGTGTAATAGAAAGTTCAAAAGCATTTATTTGAAATATAAATCTTTTGTAGCATTATAAATGTCTTTACTATCACCTTTGATCAATTTATTGCGTCATTGCTGAATAAAAGTATTCATTTATGACCCCAAAATTTTAAACAGTAGTGGAAATGCTCTCAAACATTACTTTTTTTCCCTCTCTCTCACTGTCTTTGTCTAGCTATCCATCAGAAGCTTGAATCGGACGGCACTGAGAAGGTGGAAGGCTCTATGACCCAGAGACTAGAGAACGTCCTTAACAGTAAGACATAAAACCAAACACATGCTCAAAATCACACACGATTACACAAAGCAGCTAAATTTAGATTCAGAGTTGCATATGCATTCTCTTTAGACCATCAAAGCCACACATTTCACACAGACCTCGCGTGTTTCTGTGAGTGCGTCTGCGTGTGTTCGAGACCACTCATATCCCAATCATATCTCCATGTCAATTCTCTCATGTGACGTTAGGTCAATAAACATGCTCGTTTCCTGCGGGCCGCACAAATAAACCAGTCACACACTGACATGCTTTCATTGCCATCCCCTCCTTATCCTCCTCACCATCCATCTTTACAAGTACATTTAGATGTATGTTCTTACCAAAGCCACTTACTGCCTTTGACTCTCAGCCAATCACAAACGGGCTCAATAGTGGAAAAAAGGCTGGTCGGACTTTTATAGTTGTCAGGGGGCTGGTTCTTATTAAATCTGACCAAGGAATTCCAGAATAGCCGACCACCCAAGAAGAGGGAGCATAAGAGATCTTGAATTTATTTCAAACCGAGCAAGGATGATTAAACCACTTTTTATCAGCTGTTGTCCTTCTACACCCTTTTCTCATCTCTTTCCATTTGCTCATTCCTCTCAGGAGCAAGTGAAACTGCTGACACCCTGTTTCAAGAAGTGTTGGGCAGAAAGGACAAGGCCGACTCCACACGCAATGCTCTCAATGTCCTCCAGAGATTCAAATTTCTGTTTAACCTGCCACTCAACATTGAGCGCAACATCCAGAAGGTGGCATCCCCCATACATACATACATGCCATTTTTCACCCTACAGTTGAACAGTTTGGGTACAGGGATGTTTGTAATATTTATTTAGTTCATATATTTATTCAGCAAGGACACATTAAATTGATCAAAAGGGACAGTAAAGACTTTTACATTGTTGCAAAAAACATTTCTAATAAATGCTGTTCTTTTGAACCTTCTGTTTATCAAAGAATCTATGTATCACAGTTTCCCCAAAAATATTAAGCAGCACAACTGTTTTCAATATTGATAATAATAATAAAAAAAGTTTGTTTCTTGAATACTAAATTCAGCATATTAGAATGATTTCTGAAGAATGTGACACTGAAGACTGAAGTAATGGCTGCTGAAGACTGCTCAATTTTAAAATATATTTAAATAGAAAACAGTTCATTTAAATTGTTATAATATTATCACAATATTTCATAATTATTATAAAGTATTTTTTATCGGAAAACTGCAGCAGAAGTGACTTCTTTTAAAAACATTGCAAAATCTTACCATCCCAAAACTTTTGAACGGTAGTATATACAATTTATGATAAATAAAAATGATCTCTGAATGCTAAACTGACTGTGTATATGTGTATGATTTCCTTCCAGGGCGATTACGACGTTGTTATAAATGATTATGAGAAAGCCAAATCTCTGTTTGGGAACACAGAGGTCCCTGTCTTTAAGAAAGGTGATCTGATCTTCACTGATAATAATTGATAACATGTTAATATGACACGCATACATTCACATTACCTGGAGTACTGTGTAAATGTTAAGAAAGATCGTCTGCATATATGTTTGTAGTGTATTCGGAGGTGGAGACGCGGATAGAAGCCCTGAGGAAACTGCTTTTGGATAAACTTCTGGAGACGCCATCCACTCTACATGATCAGAAACGCTATATCAGGTGTGTTAAGCTCACGTTATTCATCACCTGTGACAGGGGTTTTCATGCTTTTTGATGCCAGGGACCTTCAAATATGAAAAAAGTCAAGTAAAAAGACCCGTACTGTGTGAGAAATCAACTCAAAAATGTTCATTTTTAATTATAAATATTGATTTTTATTATAACATATTCACTACCGTTCAAATGGTTTGCATGTTTCCAAAAGAAGTGCTTATCAAGGCTGAATTTATTTGATCAAAACATTTATACAGTAAAAACAGTAATATTGAGAAATATTATTACAATTAATTTTTTTAATTGTTTTTGAATATATTTTTTAAATGTAATTTATTCCTATGATGGCAAAGCTGAATTTTCAGCAGGCATTACTCCAGTCTTCAGTGTAACATGGTCCTGCAGAGATCATTCTAATATGCTAATTTGCTGCTCAAGAAGCATTTCTTATCACATATTTTTGTGGAAACTGTGAAATTTTTTTTCAAGATTCTTTGATGAATAGAATCTTCAAAGAAAAGAAAAGCATTTATTTTAAATTGATTTTTTTTCTAACAGTCTTTCCTGTCACTTTTGATCAACTTAATGTATCCTTCCTGAATAAAAGTATTAATTTCTTACTGACCCCCCCAAGCCTTTGAGTGGTAGTGTAAATTATTTATATTTAATTATTTATTTTAAGTAATTACATGACCTGTCATTGTGAGAGGGGTTTAAGGGGTCCTGAAAAAGGACGTGATTATATTGATCTAATGATTCTCTCTCTCTTTTTACTCAAGATACCTGTCGGATCTACATGCTCCAGGTGACCCAGCATGGCAATGTATAGTCGCTCAACACAAGTGGATCCTGCAGCTAATGCAAAACTGTAAAGAAGATTTGATCAAAGAGCAGAAAGGTACACACACATGCAGATAGTTTGAAATAAATTGATGGTTCCTCTACAGCTCCGAAGAGTGAAAGCAGTGTGTGTGTTCTGCCCTGTGTGTGCTTGTTTAGATAGGTAGAGAGCAGCCCGTGTGTGGTCTGGGGGGGGGGGGTTTGCTGTAAAGAGAGGCAGACATCGGGGAATACAAGGAGAGAGAGGAGCATAGATAAACACATGAGATGATTGGACACCTGGATCAACACCAGCATTCATTTTTTATCAAAAGAAAGAGAGAGTAAACGTCCAAGTGGCTGAATGGTATACATCTTTATCTGTGAGAGAGAAACATGAAACATGACATGCATACACTATGTGGACATATTGAATGTTTCAGACTATATCAACAATTTAATCAAGACTCAGGAAGAGTCCCAGAAAGATCTTTAGTGCCATCTACTGTCAGAGAAGAGCTACTGCACTAGGGGTGTGCAGAGGAGTCAATATCTGTGTAACAATTTCAAAATGATCTGTGTCCAGATAAAAACGAACCCAGAAGTTCACAATTACTTGAGAAAACGGAAAACCGTTATTTCAATGAATTTACAGCCTATATTTTTTTTCTTCGTAGTTATCACTGAAAAAAATATGCCTTGTATAACTGATAAAATAATATTTTTCATTATGATTATAACATTTATTTAAATATCTTCTAACTGTCAGAGCTGATAGCCTCGTATAGACAGTCCTTTGAGGTGTAATGCGGTTGGGCTTCAGGTGACCCTAATTAAAACAGTAGTAATAAAAGTAAAATAAGGAATATTATATTATTAGTACACAGAGTTATAAAGGAATATTTATAACTCTGTGTACTGAGTAATGTCAGGTGAAACCACAACCTCAAATAAAAGGAGGCTGACTCTATAACTAGCTGGTTAAAGAATATGGAGGTTGAAACATATAAAAAAGAACAACTTTTTACTGTGCATACAAATATAAATCTGAACAAATTATATACCTGCATAAATGCCATCTCCGAGAGAGAGTGAGACAGAGAAATATGTAGCCTATCATACCAAGTTTAAAACATTTAAATGACGTATCAAGCAGTAGAACATGTATATGTATCTTAGTTTATTATTAGGCTAGAGCTGGTTTGGTTTCTGAAAGAACGCGGCTGTTTGCAATCATGCTGTGCTTATTTCATTCATTCGTGTATCATATCGCGCAAGATTTAAAACAGTTAAATATACATATTACATAGTAGAACATGTGTATGATATAGTATTTTAGTTGATGTACTCTTGCCAAGCTCTGATTTCTGAGAGACACACGGAGAGGCAACATCAACGCGGCTATTTGATTTGCGCTTATTTCATCTGTGCATACACTCATTCACTTCACACACCTCGTTATTGCGTAGTGATTTTAAAGGTTATGTATAATATCATTATCCGTGCCTTTCCGAATAAGGTATTCGGCTTGGGGCACACCCCCTATACTGCACCATACTTACCAGCTTGTCTTGGCTGGTAACCAAAAGGTTGTGTCAGGACGATTGTCCTATGATAAGTATTTTGAAAGTCACTTTGCATAAAAGCATTTGCCTCATGATTTGCACTCAAATCATAGGGGAAAAAAGAAAGAAAAAAAACAGATTGAAAGAGTGCAGCATCATCTAGACCTGTTTCCCCATGAGCAAGGCTCAAATATGCCTTCATCAACATCAGACCAGGAGTCGAGCATGAATGGTCACTCTTAGCTGAGTGATATATCGGCCATGTGATGGGTTAACTGAAACCCTTTGTTTTTTTAAACGTGATTCATTGTTAAATGCTGACGTATGTCGATGAGCATTCATTGTGTCTCTATGTGTCAGTGGGTGGTGTGAGTTTAGAGCTGGATCGCTCCTCAGCTCTGAACAGGATCAGCCTCTCAGCTCCAGTGAAGAGAGGAGGCAGCTTCCAGACACCTAAAGATGACTGTGAGTACAATAACAGAATGATATATAATAATATTTTACAATATAATTGTTTTTACTGCTTTTTGAGCTTGTTGAGCATAAGATACTTCTTTCAAAAACAATTAAAAAATCTTACAAATATTATATACAGATATGCAATAATGTATATCTGTATATAATTTATGGAAAATGCTCTGATTTGCTGTGATTTTGTTGCTTTGTGCAGAATTTCGCTTTCAGTAAGGTAAAAAATGATTTGATGTTTGAAACTGCACCTAGTTAGCATGAGTTGTGAAACTCGTAGAAATCTCATTGTCAGCTGCTTTCATTTCAGAAGCAGAATGCTGCTGTCTTCATAACATTATATCATACATATTTTCTCAGCGTGGCACTATAAGAGCCCTCAGCAGGTGAGGTTTGTGGAGAAGCTCTCAGACGTGGTCATCAGCCAGCTGCCCAACTTCTGGAAACTGTGGATCTCTTACGTCAATGGCAGCCTGTTCAGTGAGGTAGATACATGGACAAATATACTCAGAAGTGTTAGAAACAAGGGCTAGTGTAATCATGTTTTGATTACAAACACACTCTTTGAATCTTGTTGACTGTGTTGTCTTGGACAGACGGGAGAGAAGTCTGGTCAGGTGGAGAAGTTAAAGAAGAACGCCCGGCAAAGACAGAATGACTTTAAGGTCAGTAAAGCAGCTGGAATGGTTTTGTGCTTGTAGTCTGGAGATTAAGAGTGTGCGCATGAGCCACTAAGGTTTAAGAGTAGTGATGCACCAAAATTTCTGAAACTGAAAATATTTGGCCCAAAAATAAATTTTCGGTTTCATCTGAAACTGTTTAGAGGGCTGAAATCATTGACCGAAACTGATGTTCAATCTGAGTTTCTTCCATAGCGCATTTTGACTTTGTCAAGTGTCTGTTTCATGCACATAACAGGTGAACATGTCAGCCATGTGGATGCTAGGGCTGGTTTGACAATATGAAGATATAAAAGTAACTTTCTAGTTTTTAATTGATTTTCATTTTGATGAACCAAGATCGGAATAAGCATGAACTAACATCAGTAGATATGTTGAAAGGCACAATATTTATATTTACTCAACCTGTTGTCTTGAAAACAAGTTTTTATACAGTCACCATTTAAATGTTTATATTTCAACAACAAATTAGAGTAGAAACATAATTATATAATTACAAAGTTGATATAAAAATCGCCTTTTGTGCAATTGAAATGTTTATATACAGTGCAACTCTTTTAGCTTTTATTTGAGTGTTGATTATTAAATAAACGTTATTTTTGGAAAGGGCTATTTTCTTTGCATAATGGGTTTGGCACAATTGATTGTGTTTAGGGCATGATTGAGGAGGTGACCCGTCGTTTGGTGCAGTTGGTTCGAGGGGCTCTGTTACCCTCCTCACTTACTGAGCAGCAGCTGAGGCAGTATGGAGGCTGGGACACCAAAACCCCTCTCAGTGGAGCCTGGCTCACTCAGGTCATCCACACCGTCAGGTAAGTGAGGGAGTTTGTAGTAGAAATGTAGCAATTAGTAATCAGTCAAAATGAAAATTCATAGCCAAAAACAAATTTGCTAATTGCATACTCTTCTGTAGACTTAAAGGAATAGTTCACCCAGAAATGAAAATTCTGTCATCATTAGTTACCATCATGTCATTCCAAACCTGCACGGCTTTCTTTCTTCTGTGGAAAGCAAAAGTCTCTGTGTTTTTTGTGCATACAGTGGATGTCAGTGATGGCCAAAATTGTTTGATTACCAAAATTATTAAAAATGTATTTTTTTTATATTGCACAAAAGAAAGTTAGTCATTAAGGGTTAAGGGTTGAGTAAATTTTTATTTTTGGGTAAACTATCCCTTTAAGCAAGGTTGTTGTGCTGTGGTGTTCATCTGTTTCATGTAAACGTGAAACGTAAAACCTTTTTTTTTTTAAATTCAGTCATCATGATCATTCATATTTACATTAGATCCAGCTAAACTAGGATCATTGCAACTGCGGGCTGCTGTTTTTTATGTCACAGATGCTGTTATTAAATGTTTAAGTACTGGTTTCTGTTGGCATTTTCAGCCTTTTTTTCCCATTCAGTGGCAGAAATTTCGGTACATCCTTAGTAGGAATGATTTATGGTCATCCTCTCCTTGTATTTTCATATAAAACTCATTTGATTTTCTCTCTTAGGTTAAGTCATGAAGCTCTGTCAGCTTTAGAGATTCCTAATGACTTGCTGCAGGTGATTCAGGATTTACTTCAGGACCTGCGTGTGCACTGCCTGCTGACCACACTACAGCACACTGAAGAGGGTAAAACTACACATTCACATTTACTCTTTTGTAAATGTCTTGGTTTCATTTCAGGCAAACAATGGCATGAGATTGCTGAACTATTCTACAGAATATTTGCTTAAAATGCCTTGCAGATAAGGTTATTGGTCAACACTGATCATCTCAAGATGGACTGACCGATATATCAGTCTATCACTGATGTTGATTGCTCCAGATGAAAACAATAGAGGGAGCTCTAGAGATCTCAACTTAATATATTCACATTCAAGTTCAGTATTAACAACTTATTAGTCATTTTAGGGTTTTATCAAGACAGCTCTAGTGAACGAAAGTTTTATTCACAGAATTAACCATAGATAAATTGGTGAACACTAGCTAGTCAACATCTGGAGCAGTATAAACTAAATTTTTAGTAGCCAAAGTTGTTCAGATCATTTCAAAACCTCACAAAATTGCACGGAAACCTTGCATCTTCTCTTTTTTTTGCAAAATACTACTAAATTCTAAATCACTACTTAAATTCTACTGTCTGTCACTAGGATTTTGACTATAGTTTTAATTGATTATTGTTGTATTTTACTGTAAATTTGTACTTTTTTTGTTATAACTAATAGCCAAGTACTTTTTCAAAAAACTAGCTTTCCCAGTTAAAGTAGTTTCCTTAATACTGATGTTGAGAGAATGGGAGAAGTGAGTTTCTAATGTATTGATTATTTAATATTGATTAAACTTTGTGTTATTTAGACGTTAAGAGACTTGCAGAAAAAGAAGACTGGGTTGTGGACAATGAAGGAATCACGTCACTGGTATATGTTTTATGCTTTTATTATATTTTATCTGGTTTATTTCATTCTAAAAACTTGAAAATCAAAAACTTAAGGATAAATGGTGTGTGTTTCAGCCGGCCCAGTTTGAGCAGTGTATGGTTCAGATGCTGCAGTCTCTGAAGGAGCCCATGGAATGTAAACCTGGAGAGATCAATGTACAAATATTCACACGACACTCATCCTCTGCAGATTATATGGAGCGTAATCAGTTTTATGTGTGTCTGTCTTTTTGTTCTCAGATCTTTAATCTGGATGTGGTTCAAGACAAAGCTTGTGAGCAGTGTGTTTCTATCATGAAGGTACTGTGTTCTGGTTTCTGTGTATGTTGGGATTTGTAAATATAATCCATGCTGAATAAAAATAATTTGTATGTCTCTGCTTGGTATAGGTCTTTATTAAGTGCCTTGAGCATCTCAGCACCAAGACTGATGGAGAAATTGGCACCTCTCAGTGAGTTTTATTCTATATATTATATATATACCTTTTCAACAGTAATTTTGATTTAATGACTCTAAAAATATCAAGTGGTGTAAAGTTCTGTAAAAATATATTTTATAAAAAAAAAGTTTTTTTTTTATTATTGAATTTTTCGTTTTTGTGATGCATATTTTTTCAGGCAAAAATGTGCATCACTGAGCCATATATATAATGTTTAGTCTGAATGTTTAAGTTTACAGTGGGAGTATAATATCAAGGTTTTTCTCTTTCAGTTTGTCTGTGGACTTGGCCTCGCCTGATCTTTTTGGAAGCATCCAAAAAGACTTCGGTTCAAAACCAGTAAGGCCATTTCCCCCCTCCCCTCCTGATTTCCAACTTTGTCCATGTTCTTTCTCTCTATTCACACAAATAATGCATATTTAAAAGAGTACTGTGCTATAATATACATACAGATAATTTTATTATTCATATAAAATAAATATGAATTGTGGCCAAGCAGTTAGTACATCAAGCTGTGGTGCTCATATGGGAGATGCGGGTTTGAATCTGACTTGCGTTGGATACTCATTACATTCCCCCCTCTTCACTTTTTTTGTTAATCCACTTTCACTGTCAATAAAATGTCAAAAAATGGCCACATAAATAAAATGCAGTATGTGTAGACTGGTTAGCTGGTTACTACATGAAGTAGCCCTATGTGGTATTTTATTCACAGTAAACTGCAGAGGTGGATGTCACTATGCGACAGGATATTTGAGTACGGAGAATAGGAAGTGAGTGTAGATAACAGCTGCCTTCACGCTACTCTGACATGTTCAGCTTCTCACTTTATTTTAAATGATTTGTCACTGACTGAAATCCAAATAACACTGTGTTGATGTGTAGTATCTGAACCACAGTGTCAGAGTACTACTGAAAGCTGAAAACCTGATAGACTGAGAAAAAGAGAGAGTGTGTTTAAAAATGATCAAAACGAAGCCTTGTTGATTGAAGATATTCAGAGACCTCAAGTAACCTTGAGTGCTTCCTCCCTCCATTTAAACCTTTCTTTTGTGCTTATTCAGTAATGCTGTGTGTGTGTGTGTGTGTGTGTGTGCGCGCACATGTGCTTGAGTAAAAGTTTAACCTGTTAGCATTCCACTGTACCGCCGTGGTACACTGTGTGTTTTAGGCGTATTAGGCAAATTTTACAGGAATGCTAAGGGGTTAAACCACACAAATAGAGTTTACAGTGACCCCAAAGCATATTTGGTCCCTTCCTGATGCTTAAGTTAGATTTAAAATGGCCTAATGACTTTACTTTAGATACAAAATATCAAAATAAATTGGCATCTGCAAAAGACATTATGCTAGACATCATCGACGAACAAACTTCAGGGTTTTTTTTTAGGCATTTCTTTATATATTTGAAATTATTTTTACAACTAACTAGTCTACTATGAAGGGGGATTTTTAGTGTTCATATGAAGTCAGTTCCCTTAAGTTTGCACAGGTGTCCTAGCAGAGCAGCCACGGGTATAGTTCATCACATCAACTTATGGACATGTTCCACTAACATTTGACAATCAGAAAGTATGCAAATACTTTTTGTGCAAATGTTGAACTATACATATAATGTTGGTTTGTAATTTGAAACATGACATTTTGGTTAAAATATTTGCACTATATTTCAAATAAATGCCTCTTTTAATATTTTAGACAAATAGTGAAAAAAAAAAAAAATTTGCCCTCAAATGCCACTCTTTTTTTGTGTGTGTGTGTTATTTATTAGTTCTTAAGAACCCTTTTCCCAAGAAAACATCCTGTGTTCCGTTATGGATGCTTTTGTCACAGTTTCCATCTGCAACTCAGCAAACATCTGAATATCACGCACAAGAGTCATGTGTTGTGAAAAACAGCAGCTTTTTCTTCACAGAGCACAATGCAACAGCAGCTCACATGGGGTTTCCCCAAGCCTGCAGTGGAAGAGCTGCAGGTTTCCCCTGTCTCTCTCTTTCTCCGTTTTACTCTCTCTCTTCTTCACAGACTGGTTTATGGTTAAGTAAAGGCACAAACATACCCAATCATACCTGTAATAGTACTGCTTCACAAACTGTCAGACTATTTCTTGTTCAAGTGTATATAAATGTACAAGTTTGGGGTTAGTAGGATGTTTTAAAAATGTTTTTAAGTCTCTTATGCTCACCAAGGCTGCATTTATTTGATCAGATATACAGTAAAAACAGTCATTATATGAAATGTTATTACAATTTAAAATAACTGTTTTCTTTTTGAACATATTTTTAAAAAATGTAATTTATTTCTGTGATGGCAAAGCTTCAGCCTTAAGTGTCACATGATCATTCAGAAATCATTCTAAATCACTCTAATCATTACAATTTAATGTATAAGGGACACAAATCTCTCTCTAGATACGTATATATATGTTCATTGTAACTGATTCAGTTGCTGTGTGTGTGTTTGTTCTGGCTCATGTAGGAGCAACGTCTCCTCATCATCCTCAGTAACTGTCAGTATCTGGAGAGACACACGTTTCTCAGTCTGGCTGAGCACCTGGAGAAGAACGGCTTCACCACTGCAGAGAAGATCATCAGGGTACAAAGACACATGCACACTTCCTTTTTACTCCAGTCCACAGTTGGCATTTTCTTTTTTCTAAGTGATAACAGATGTGTTTCCAAGTGTGGTAAATTATGTATATTTTACTGAAGTGAGAATGACTCATGTAGATTGAGGAGAAGCTCAAGGGTTTTTCATGGTGACATTACAACACACTCACTTAAGGTGGCTTTTGTGCCCTAGAGAGGAGAGGGTGAAGCCCTCATGAAAGGTTATGGTTGGCCTTTCCAGTAAATACTGATGGTTTCGATGCAGATCATAGTGAATGAGTGTGTTGGGCTTTGTGTAACACAACGGGTTTGTGTAGATCAATAAAGTATGATGAGAATACTCTGCATTGCACCTTTCAGAGAGATTTAACTCTGAATATGAGCTTGATAACTCACAGGAGAGGTTTATTACATGATCATAAAGTGACTCTGACATGTTTATCTTAGTACAGACAAGAGATAATAATTGATTATTGATCTTGCATTATAGTGGTTTTCAGAGTGATTTAGAGCTGCATCACTATTTTGTAAATTGTGATGAAGAATTTGAACAAACCATTTACTCTACAGTGGGGTTTACACTGACAATGACCGTTAGCAGAGCTTAACTTTATGCAAATATTTTGTGAAGCAGTGCAGCAGTTACCAATGGCAGTGCAGAAAGGGATCTGCCCGATGCAGTTGGACACCGTGGTTGATCCACCTACTAGACCGGCCCTGATTTAATTGCTGAATTTTAAACCACAGCTTTATTATTTAGTATTAAATTTCATTATATTTGTGCTAAATATATTTTGTGCCCCCCCCCTCTTTTTGTCTTGTCTTGTCTTCCAGTGCAAATATCTAAACATTCTTAAATCAATGTACATTTACTTAAGAAGCAAAATTTAGTTTATTATGTCTTGTTTTCTGGACAATGTATCAAAATTAAGTGACTTTATGCACAAAACAAGGAAAAAATATATATCTGCAAATCGGGTAAGAAAAATAAACTTAAATAAAATATAGTTTATTTTCTTATTTTTCATGTTTTAAGTGTAAAATTACTTAATTTTGATAAATTTTTCAGGAAACAGGGCTTGTCATCTAATGTCATTTTGCTTCTCAAGTGATTGAATTAAATATGTTTAGATATTTGTACTGGAAAAAAATAATAATAAAATTTAAAAAAAATATATATATATATATATTGAGCAAGAAAATCTGTTTTTTGCAGCATTCAGGTAAGAGGCCTTAAATCAGCTTATAGGTGACATATGAAAATCTTTTCCAGGTTTTAAGTGCTATAATCAGGTCCACAGTGCATCTACCAATCAAGGAAACGCGAAAAAGATTAACCCAGTAACTTTGTTTTCTGCAAGCGTCTGAGAAAACGAGCGTGTCTGATTTCACTCCCTTGGCGATGTGGCAAAGGGATCTCATTATAATATTACCGCCCCTTAATCTGTAAGTTTACACCCGCGGCGCCGTTATTGTGTTTTTGCAAGCGACAACGGTGTACCAGTTCTAATGCCATGGCGAAACTTTGAGCAAAACATGCTAACTCTTCTGTCTTTGGCTGCACAGATGAGCACAGAACACTATTTAGAGTCCCAGCCTCAGAGACAAGAGAGCAGTGGATTTATTGATTTATTTAATGTATATTGCTGCTGCCACACAGATCTAAAATAAACATGCAATTTATTTCCCAGCAGTTTACCTTCACAGACATAACCGACTGTTTTTATAACTCGTGTGTTTTAAACGTAAACTTGTGTGTGAATGAGAACTAAGTTTAGTACTCACATGCTGTGACAGCCGCTTTCTGTCCGTGTGCTTCGGATGTGTGCACTCAGAAAACCGTATATCAGAAGTTTAAACTCATATGGTTTAAAACGCATGATTTCAGCGCGATAAACATGATAATCAGAACCAAAACAGATGTTTTTAGCAGGTCTGAGCTGTAAAGGCGCAGCTCTATTCTGGAAAAGGGGGCGGGGAGCAGCAGCTCATTTGCATTTAAAGAGACAGACCCGAAAAACAGCGTGTTTCTGCTTCCACTCAAAATAGGCATTTTCAAAATTATATAATAAATTATCTGTGGAGAATTTTGAGCTGAAACTTCACAGACACATTCTGGGGACACCAGAGACTTATATTATATATTGTAAAAAGGGGCATAATATGTCTCCTTTAAGAAGAACTGTGCTATTTATGAACGGTCTGGACTGTAGATAATTTTTTGCCAGGTGGACTTTTAAAAGGAGCAAAATCCAGGACTCAGAATATCCATAGGGATGGGCTCTTTTGACTTGGCCCAGTAAATGGCACCCTAGCAAAGCACCAAGGACACTTTAGGAACTGCATAGCAACACAATAAAATTGCATGGACAAGGCTTTTTCATTTTCTTCAAAATGTATAAAAGTCTAGTTAAAAATATGTAACAACATTTGGACTGCTTCTCAGTGAAGATTGACACTCATCTGTCAGGACAGATGTCCATCTCTGGTGTTTCACAGAGTTCCCACAGATTTTGTCCCCTTTTAAGATGGTGCTTTCCATTCTGGTTTTTGAGGACTTCCCTAAAGTTCAACACACATCAAAATGATGGACATGCATGAGTGGTCTCTACTCATTCTGCAAGAAGTGTGTGATGTTAATGGTTTCTTATGGTCACATGTACTTCTGTGTTTCAGGAGAGAGTCTTGTATGATCAGTGGTTTGTAATTAAACTGAAGGCATGCTCTTGTTCTTCAGGTCAGCATAGAGGCGTTAAGACAGCTGGATGAATATCTGTTTGAGACGTACATCGAGAAAAAATCTGATCCTATCGTCGGCTCTCTGGAGCCTGGCATCTATGCCGGATACTTTGACTGGAAAGACTGCCTGCCACCTACAGGTAACACACACCTCAATCATGTAATCTGTATGTTGACAACACTCTGTGGACGTTTCTAGAAGACATTGTCTGTTTGAAACACCATCACCCTGGAGATGGTGCTAATAGAGAAAGCTCCACAAACACTTTTGCTTGTCTTGAATCTGCAGTTTCAGTCTGCCGTCATTGCTTTTATGTCAGTTTCAGTTATGGTAAAGTGTGTGTGTATATTGATTGGGTGTGTTGGTGCATACTTGACTACATGCTATTGGTTATGTGAATCATTTGTGAACTTACAAGAACGCTTCCTGCTTCTGAGATGTTATAAGAAGAACTTGTTGAACTGTGTAAAACCTACTTTTCTTCGCAACTGCTCCGATTTAGCTCCCAATCAGTTCATCATCTTTATCTAATAAATTTAAAAAAACAGTATTATTACACATGAATGTACACTTCCTTTCAAAAGTTTGGGATAAATAAGATTTTTAAAAAAATACTTTTATTAAAGAATTAGTTCACCCAAAAATGAAAATTCTGTAATTAATTACTCACCCTCATGTCATTCCAAACCTGTAGGACCTTCATTCATCAAGATATTTTTGATGAAATCCGAGAGCTTTCTGACCCTGCATAGACATCAACGCAACTACCACTTTCAAGGCCTAGAAATGTAGTAAGGACATCGTTAAAATAGTCCATGTGACATCAGTGGTTCAACCTTAATTTTATGAAGCTACGAGAATAGCTTTTGTGCGCAAAGAAAACAAAAATGACGACTCTCGTATCTTCATAATATTAATTCAATTCAATTCAAGTTTTTTTTATATGATGCAATCAAACTTATAGCAAAATTTGGTAGTTTTGTATGTTGTCTGAGGGTTGGCATCATCTGAGGTATTAAGGTTGAACCACTGACGTAACATGGACTATTTTAACGTTGACCTTACTACATTTCTGGACCTTGAACGTTTCCGTTGCGTTGCTGTCTATGCAGGGTCAGAAAGCTCTCGGATTTCATCAAAAATATCTTAATTTGTGTTCCGAAGATGAATGAAGGTCTTACGGGTTTGAAACAACATGAGGGTGTGTAATAAATGACTGAATTAGCATTTTTGGGTGAACGACCCCTTTAATACTTTTATTCAACAAGGATGCATTATATTGATCTAAAGTGACAGTGAGACATGTTGCAAAAAATTATGTTTCAAATAAATAAATGCTGTTCATAGCAATTTCATCAAAGAATCCTGAAAAAGTATCATGGTTTCGACAAAATATTTAGCAGCACAACTGTTCAACATTGATATCTGTAAGAAATGTTTCTTGAGCACCAAATCAGCATATCAGAATGATTTCTGAAGGATCGTGACTCTGAAGACTGAAATAATGGCTGCTGAAAATTCAGCTTTGCCATCACAGGAATTAATTACACTTTAAATAGAACACAGTTACTTTAAATTGTAATCATATTTCACAATATTAATGTTTCTGTATTTTTGATCAAATAAATGCAACCATGGTGGGCATAAGAGACATCTCCAAAACAAAACAAAACAAATCTTACTGACCCTATCAGTAATGTATAGAATATAAAATCTTACAGAGCAGATATTTTTTATCCTGGTAATACAAGATTGGTTGTTTTAAGAAGTGATTACTTTAATAGTGCAAAGAAAGTAAATAAACATACTGTAAACATTTGAGATATGTTGAAGGGGATGATTTTGCTTGACCTCAGTATGGAGGAATGAGGACACACACACAACGTGTCTTAATTATAACATTTATGACAACTAGGCAAAACCATGTCATACTTGTGAAGAGAAGCTGATAAGATTTTCCTCTCACCTTCTATGTTTCAGATGGTTCCTTATCCCCCTGTTTAAACCTTTCTTGAACCTTAAAAAGCATGAACATGACTCATTGATCTATCTTTTCTCATTCCCTTTCTCTCTTTCTGACTCAGGTGTGAGGAGTTATTTGAAGGAGGCTTTGGTCAGCATCATCTCTGTTCATGCTGAGGTGAGATGCTCAAACCTTCAGTTCGACAAATCGCTCATCTGCTTTAAAAGATGCTCTGTTAGACATCTTAAACTTTAAGAATGCCACCTTTTCTGTTCCAAAACCTTGTGAGCTCTTTACATAGACAGCATTTAAAAGCTTTATGTTTACACTTTCAATTCTAAAAAGTAAGCAGCAACACTGTTTCATTATAAGGTACCTTGTTTTGGCCAAATTCTAAGACAGCATTACATGTTGTCTTAGTGGATAAGACAATCCCAGAATTCAATGTGACAAGCTTGGTGGGAAAAAAAAATCATGACGAAACGTACAGTCAACTGTAAATATACACTACTATTTGAGGGGTTGGTTACAATTTGTAATGAACATTTCTTAAAGGGATAGTTCTCCCAAAAATGAAAATTACCCCATGATTTACTTGTCCTCAAGCCATCCTAGGTGTATATGACTTTCTTCGTTCAGACGAATGCAATCGGAGTTACATTAAAAAATGTAACTGGCTCTTCCAAGCTTTATAACGGCAGTGAATGGTGGCTGAGATCTTGAAGTCCAAACAAGTGCATCCATCCATCATGATAAGTACTCCACACGGCTCCGGGAGATTAATAAAGGCCTCCTGAAGCGACGCGATGCGTTTGTGGAAGAAACGAACTGCTAACTGTCGTATGCGCATTCACGAGAGTGGCGTTCCAGCGGATGACATAGGAAGTACGCGTAGCATAAGCTCCGATGAGAATATGCTAGTCTCGTGAGAACCAAGTTTTGTTTACAGCAAAGGAAAACCAGTCTCCTCTTGGCTTATATAAAAATCCTCTGTACTTCTAAATCATGACCGGTGTTTTGTTTTGCTCTCTCCGCTGCGCTTCCAAGTTTGGAACACTTCTCACCAGAGCTTACGCTATGCCTACATCCTACAGCATCTGCTGGAACGCCACTCTTTAGTGAACATGCGTACGACAGTTAGTGGAAGCTAGAGATTACGGTTTATAAAGTTTTAAATATGGATATTTTTCTTACACAAAAACATCACTTCATTTCAGAAGGCCTTTATAAACCGTCCGGAGCCGTGTGGAGTACTTTTTATGATGGATGGATGCACTTTTTTGGGGTTCAAAATCTCAACCCCCATTCACTGCTATTATAAAGCTTGGACATTTTTTTAATACAACTCCGATTGTATTCGGAGTATTAAGTATTAAGCTGACCAAGGCTGTATTTATTTGTTTATTGTGCTATAGAAAAAAACAGCAATATTGTGAAATATTATTACAATTCAAAATTAATATTTTTTATTTCATTGTATTTTAAAATGTAATTTATTCCTGTGATTGCAAAGCTGAATTTTCAGCAGCCATTAATATCTTCATTTGGCGCTAAAACATATTGGTGAAATTAATAGACAGTCTCAAAGAATCTGTTTTTTTTTTTGCTCTTTCAGGTTTTCACAGTTTCCAAGGAGCTGGTTTCTCGTGTTTTATCAAAGATCATTGAGGCTATAGCTGAAGAAATGAGCCGTCTGATGCAGTGTGTGTCCTCCTTTAGTAAAAACGGTGCACTGCAGGTACAAGTCATCGGGACAGTCAACATTTGATCTTAAGGTGTTGAAATCCACATCATAATTTTTCACCATCATTAATATTTCTCTCTCTAGGCACGTCTGGAAATCTGTGCGCTGCGAGACGCCATAGAGCTGTACCTCACATCAGAGAGTCTGTAAGACATAAACACGTTCAACACAGATGTCTTAATACAATTAAAACCAAAAAGTGTTAGTATGATAATGTGGGTGTGTGATGTTGTCTCATATGTCTCCTCTGTGTCTCAGCGCTAGTTTTAAGCAGGCATTGGAAGCTCTACCACAGCTACAGAGTGGAGCTGACAAGAAGTAAGTTATCACAGTTTCAGTCAAATACATGCTGAATGTTATATTTCACACTGAAAAACTCTTAACATTTAAACAAATGTTAGTCATCAGAGATGATGATAATTAGAGCTGAGCTCAAATGTCATGACATGACTTGTCCAAGTGACCTTGTTTGGTTCAGTCACATAGCAAATTAGCTCAAAATGGACATTTATATAAATAATTAAAATTAATTAAGATTGATTATAATTATTTATATCAGCTGCTAGTAGTACCTGTAGCAGAATTGATATTACAATCAACTAATCTGTTCAACGAGCATCCGGATGCAGTCTCAGATGAAAGTCTTGATGGTTTGGTGGTGTTGAAGTTGCGATCAGATTCTTCCGGGTTGTAGAGTGATGAACTTGAAAGATGTTATTATGAGTCTGTTGAGGTCAGGAGAGTTTTCTCCCAGGTGAAAAGTGAAGACATGGCTGTAGTCGAGGCCCTGGGACTTAATGAGTCCCACACGAGCAGCAACCAGAAGACGAAGCAGAAGATGAAGATCTAAGAGAAATTAAAAGGCCTCACTACATCAGTGACCTCCCTGATGTAGTGAGGCCTTTTAATTTCTATGGAGGTCACAGCTCCAGGGGGTCAGTGAGCCAATGGTGACTTAAACTTTAGGAGGGAAAGTTCACGACTCTTTGTCTTCGAACATGGTATTTTGCATATGTAACTGGATTGGGTGCTGATGCAAAAACTATTAAAGATTCTTAGAACACATATATGTTGCATAGGTATCAACATATAATATATATCTCATTTAGATCATCAAAACACAAATTCATAGATACCAAACGTGGTATAGGTGAGGTTACACTAACTAGTGGTACTATCATAAGCATGCATAAAACAGTATACAATATACAAGAAGAGTAATAATACACACAATGACCAATGATCTGTTTAATTGTGTGTCTGATTTGTCCAGGTGTAACAGTCATCTGAAAGGAACTTCTTGGTATTTAAATTTGTCTCACATGCTATTGATTAATTGCCATGCGATTGACCACTTTGGGGGTGTAAATCATAAATCACTGAGCAAGCCCTGATAATATAGATCACTTCAAGGTATGAAACTGTTAAAACTACTGGGCAAGCAGATTCCATAGTGATTGATTTGCATTCAAAGTGGGCTGCCTTAAGATACTAAAGTGCAAATGACTTGTAATAGACTTGGAAGCATCCATTTGAATGGGTTGAAAGTTTTAACCGATCAGTAATGTTTTGGATCGTATGCCATCATTTTCCAGCCAGAGTGTGTTTATGAATTTATAGCTGTTATGGAGAAAATACATTACCAGATATAACTGAAAATAGTAATAAAAAGTACTTTACTTTTACATTTAAGCAAATACATATTTTTAACACATACACTAACATTTAAAGTTTGGGGTTGGTAATGTTTTTGAAAGAGGTTTCTTATGATAACCAAATACTGTGTTTATTTGATCGAAATACATTTATACTATCATACATTATACTATCAGCAATACTACTGTCAATATATTTTTTTTTAAATAAATGTAAATTATTCCTGTGGTGGCAAGGCTGAATTTTCAGCAGCCATTACTCCAGTTTTCAAGCGTCACATGATCCTTCAGAAATCATTCTAATATGCTTATTTCCGTCTCAAGAAACATTTATTATTATTACCAGTGTTGAAAGCAGTTGAGCTGCTTAATGTTTTTGTGGTAACCATGACACATTTTTTCAGGATTTTCTGGTGAATAGAAAGTTCAAAATAACAGCTTTCATTTGAAATAGAAATCTTTTTTTAAAAAGAATTGAGCGGATTGTCCTGGCACAATAGTGCAATAAGTACAGATATCAGACATATTTAAAATAAGTACAGATGTTTAGTGATAATTTTGTTTATTGATGGTAAATTTGGCTTGTTTAGTAGTTTCCATTTTTTTCTAATACACCTCTATCTCTCTCTTTTTTTCTTAGACTCTTGGAGGAGCTACTGAATAAGTTTAAGAGTAGTATGAAGCTACAGCTTAATTGCTTCAAGCCTGCCTCTTTTCAGCCTGTGAAGCGATAAGCCTTCACAAATCCCCAACATTTCAACAGCACCTCTGAGTTGTAACACTAAGACACCATTTCAGTTTTAAAAACCATTCAGAACCATTAAAAGTCAATTTAGTGCCACTAATATACCCTTTTCTACTTGCTGAATTACACTTGTTTTCTTGTGAGCATGTAGTGGCCTGTTGATAATTAACAGGCTCATTAATCTGAAAAGTTGCACTACCTCTTTGTCCAGATGCGCATTAAAAGCCTAAATAAAATTATGTGCTCTTGCGCAGTGGGTTTTCTGCAAATGTTAATGTGCAAGACAGTTGCTAGAGTAATTGCAAGATATATGTTTTTGTGTGTGTGAGAGTGAGTTTTCCTCTTAGTAGATGAAACTGTTGAGTTCTGAAATGACTCTTTTTATCAAGAGAGTCGTTTTGTGTTGAAGTCTATTATGACCACACGTCAGCGATTCATGTACACACCCTGTCTAGTGTCAGACGGAACGATACACACCCTGCCCCTCCTCAGCAATGCGGGGGTAATTTTACCTGTCCCAGGAGGAAGTGTTCAGTATTGAGAGGTGTCCTTTACAGTAAACTGCTATTAAATGCTGTGTAACCCAGCATTGGCATGTGGTTAAGGAGTTTAAGAGATAACTGACTAGAAAACAAGATGAGTTGAAAGTTCTCGCAGGCTGCCAACATGCCATCAGAAACTCTCCACAATGATCTGAATATTTGTTTCTACTTTTGTCTCGTCATAACTCATTCCGTTATTTTCCCAACACTCAGTGTTGTTTGTTGATTTCTATTCTTCTAAATTTAGAACGCTTGACACCCAATCATTTAAGGGAAGCAATTTGACAGAACAGCGTCAAAGCCTCGTGCGGCAGCAGGTGAAAGAGTGGGTGTATTGATCTCAGGCTGTACAGCTTAAGGGAAGTTTTTAATGATTGCACCTTTCCACTCTGTAGGCAGCGGAAAATGATCCAAAACATGTTTATGTGCTAATATAGAGCCGTGAGTCCATAAACAGTGGAAAACTCGAAGAAGTTTTGTTTATGTAAAACATCTCGAAAGTTTCTCAGGATGTCCCATGCATCCCAAAGCTAACAATCCCATACTATAGCATAGTTTCAAGACCTTTTGACCTAATTAGTTACTTTTCAAAGAAAATAGGCCGATCAAAATTTTACGTAGTACACAACATTGTTCATTATTGCTTTCAGGGCAACAAAACAACAACCAATGAGACATTCTGGCTGTTTTCATTGAGAAGAAAGAATAAATAATACTTCTGTCAGTCTGCCTCTTCCTCTGTGATGTCACCAAGTTAAGACTGCCCGCACCATCCTGTCTCCAAACCACAAACACCATCCTGTGTGTGTGCTGTCATTCGCTTACACACCCTGTCTTATATTCTCTGCAGATAACATATAAATACACAAAATAATGTTCTTTTTAGCAGCATCATATGACCCCTTTAAAAGAACCAAAGACTTAAACTACTTCAGTCTGTGTGCATTGAATTTATTTAATACACGAGTTTCACAATTTGAGTTGAATTACTGAAATAAATGAACTTTTCCACGACATTCTAATTTATTGAGATGCACCTGTAGTTTTATCCAGTAGAAATAAAAATGAACTTCAAAGCAAAATTAGTGGAAAGAGAGTAAAGGAGCGCTATAATTTTGAGATTGACTACTGTTCAAAAGTTCAGGGTAGCTAAGATTTTTTCATGTATTTGAAAGAAGTCTCTTATGTTCACCAAGGCTGCACTTATTTGACCCAAAATATAGTAAAAACTTTAATATTGTGAAATATTATTACAGTTTAGTATAACTGTTTTCTGTTTGAATACATTTTTAAAATTTAATTTATTCTTGTGATGGCAATTGCCATTACTCAAGTTTTCAGTGTCGCATGATCTTTCAGAAATCATTGCATTATGTTGATTTGGTGTTGAAAAATTTCTTATCGTTAACTATTGAAAACAGTTGTGCTGATTAATAATTTAGATGTAATTTTTACCCTGTACAGGTCAGGAATCAAGAGCACATACACTCAGTTTTTCACTTTTTTATTAAAACCAAAGGTGGCATCAATTTTGAGGCATTTTGAGCATCTCGGTAACAAAAAAAAGCAAAAGTAGTAGAATAAAAAAAGTAGACCATTTTGTCAGAATTTTACCCAAACATGTTTATAAAAGAACTGCAATTCGAAAACTGAAAGGTTATCACTTTTTCCCTAAATGCGTAGCCTTTGGATTTTTATATTCTGAATGCAGCTCAATCAAATGTAACTAGAAACAATGAGTCACAGCTAATATTCACACTTTACATTCTTTTGTCATGTCAGCAAACAGCCCACACATATATTGACATAATACAATCATTCATCCTTGTGAGTTTTACACAGATTTGCATCATTCTCAGTATTAAACATGACAACAGTCTTGCATTTGATGTTGTCTGTTATCATTCTAGATTATCCTGGTGGGATTCAGCTCAGTTCTAGTGTCCCGAAAGGCTCTAGGTGCACAGCAGAATTCCAACATTTACCTTTTACACTTTAGCTTACAAGACTTGTGCGATTTTTACAGTTAGCCCAGGGTTAACAGTCCTGTTTAAACTTCACCTTGGGTTATTACTTAGTCCTGGGTTTTTAAATTTGAGATTTTTCACTGTACATATTTAAACCCTGGGTTAACATTCCTATTTGCATATTGATTGGACAAGTATGGCACTTGGTGAACTTGTCCATCATCTGTTCATAAGCAAAGCTTTGTAACCCTGAGTTAAAAGTGGTGCTAACCCCCTTTGCAAATTACAAATGTGAAAGTAGCTTAACCCAAAAATGAAAAGTCCGTCATCATTTACTCACCCTCATTTCATGGTAAACCTATATGGCTTTCTTTCTTCTGTGGAACAAAAAAGCATAACATTTCAGAAATGTCTCAGTGTTTTATTTTTTGACCATGCAATGGAAGTCACTGGGTTATTTGGTTCCCAATGTTCTTCAAAACCTTCTTTTATGTTCCACAGAAGAAAGTAAGTCATACAGGTTTGGAACGACATGAGGGTGAGTAAATGATGACAGAATCTTTTTTTGTGTGTGTGAACGATCCCTTTAACCCAGGATAAAAACTTGTTTTAACCCTGGGTTAAACAAGATGTTAATCCAGGATTAAGAGTGGAGTGACAAGCTGCCAAGGTCAGTTTTGAGGGCCATTGTTATGGTGATGCGTGATGACTCTGTGGTAATCTTGGGTCGGGGAGAGGTTGTGTTCAGGGGGCAGGTGTGAAAGCTCATGGCTGCGGATGTAGTTCATGCTGCCAGGGTGGGTGAGGAAAAGAAGCTGGCGAGCAAACAGTGGCTCAACCTGTGACATGATGACAAAAGCCAATTAAGATGACATGAATATCATTTATGTTTTGTTCCTAACTTCATCTGTATTATAAGGAACCAAAGAAATGTACCTGCACTGTGAAGGTCCTTCTTGGTCTTTGAGTATCGGTGCTCTCATCCTCAAAGAATAGCAGCACTTGGGAACATGGCACAGGACGAGCGTGCAAGGTGTAACTCTGCAACTCTACAGAAGATACAGAGGAGGACACATTTAATCGCAGAAATACATCAGATTTTTGTTTTATGTTTTTGAAAGATCTTACAGGATTTCAAAAGAACTGCATTTATTTAAAATAGAAAACATTTGCAATATTGTAAATCTCTTAAATATCTTTGTTAATTTAATGCATCCTTGCTGAATAAAAGTGTCAATTTCGTTCAAAAAAGAAAAAATCGTACTGACCCCAAACGTTTGAACGTCTGCATAAAATGTGGTAGATTATTCAGATTAACGGTCAATCAAAATGACCAAATCTTAAACTATTACTTTGAATCTTGAATATTTATGTACATCCTTGTTACAAAGTGTTTATTTGTAAATGGAAAATAACTGAACATGTTTCTCAAGCCATTGGGTAAAGTTTATGATCTTATCTCTTTCTGTAAAACAAACATTTTTTTCTCTCATTTTCTATTTGCTTTCCATAGTACTATGAGCTTTAGGTCTAATGTGGCACATGTAATTTCTGTGGTACTTGAGTTGTATTCATCATATGCTGGAAAGTTCTGTGAGAATCAAAACAATCAGTGAATCTGACAGAAGGTGGGCGTGAGTGAGTTGCAACTCAAAGATGACTGACTCTGTGACTGTCACTGAATATCAACCCACAGATAATGTGACACACTATTTACTGTAAAAGCTTTTTGATGTCTGTGTTTACTGTAAAAATGTGTGTATCTTTGGAGATGTCAAATATGATGTATACAAACAGAATGAATAGACAGGCATAAAGATTTACAATAAATGTCTCTCAGTGCTTACTAAAAATGATGAGTGATGAAGTAACCTTTCTGTTTTTTTCTTGTTTTCCAATTAATGACATCAGATCATGTGTTTGTCAAAATCTTAGTGTTATTTATCTGAAATGCCTTACACATGAATATGTTACTATGCACTAACCTGTTATGAACAGATGAGTGTCCAGCAGTTTGCAGTTCTGTTCTCTCTCCAGCTTGTTGGGCTTGTCGGTAGGTGGTGCGTGAGCTCCCTCCCAGTACACCCTGCAGGGGCAGCGACGACGGGCGTAGAGCCCGTCAGGGGCCATCCAGAGTGTAACGCCACGCTCCAGAGATGCCCCTTCAGCATGAGGGAGTTCGACCAGTTCTGGAGCCCCAGGTGAAGCGTAGGCCTGTCCCTCTCTGCTAGGGCCCAGCTGACAGCCCTCTGGACTACTCACTGTTACCTCTCGCACCAGAGTGTCCCGGTAAAACACCACCACATGTAAGCGGTAATCTAACAGAGAAGGAGATCAAATGAAATAAACACTTAGATTACCTGCCATCATCTAACGCTCAGTTCAAATCTTTCTAAACACAATTTAATAAAGCAGCAGTCACTCCAGACTTTGAACACACAGAATTTCTACAGACACTTTAACGGCTGTAATTTGATGTCATACTGTGTCATACATTCGTCTTTTTAAAAATCATAATTCAACATATATCAAAAATGTTAAAATATGCAGTCTGCTCCACATGTAAAGTTCTTTTAATTCAGCTAAGAGGACACACCATGATGTATCATTCTTCTATTGGTCACACGTCTTCACGTGATACAAATTCGCAGGTCAGAGTTCACCAAACGTTCTTTTCAATCTGATCACTGAAATCATCCAGATGATCCTCAAAATCATTATCAGAAATATCAATACTTAAA